TGAGCAAGTTATCATTCAAGAAATAATTATAAGAACACTCAAGGAAATGTGAGTAAATATGTTTTTAGATTTTTCTTCACTAAGCCTGAGAGAGCTTGGATGATATGCTTATTTGCTTGAATTAAACATAAAAACCCATAAAAACAATATTCTGTATAATTCATTAATTTCCATGTTTCCATGCTCACACATTTATTTACATGTAAATATACTCATATCAGAGGGTTATCCCTCTAATTAAAGTATGTGGGGAAATCTTAACACTCATAACAAATGAAAACAAACCCCCAAATTCACCTAGTTTAATAATTTTCAGCATTACATCCTAACATTAAAATATATAGTTTAATCTCACCTACCAAATTTGTCCCAAAAATTCAGTGACCTGTGATAATAAAATGACAGGGCGCATTCGTCCTCAGTTATTATTGTTTCTTTGGTTCTTCATGAGAACTTCTGCTTCCCCAAAGCATTTTAAAATAATCTTCTGTAGACAAAGAATAATCTAAGATAATGGTGAGAATTGCCAAAGAACCTGATCACTTCCAAATTTTATACATGAAGAACAATTAAATATGTTAAAATATAAGGACATGATCTTTTCTAGTGATTGCTCCTGGAATTATAACTATTATCAATAATCTATAATTGATGGGATATGTCTGTAAGGAGCAGATTTAATGCTGTTGATAGAGCAGAGAAAAGCAAGAAACAATCTGATAGACAACACCCTAAAGTCAAGAAATAGATCCTCTATTCATTTGCCTCATATGATGAATAATCTTGATTGTCAACCTGATGAGGCTTAGAATCCCTGTGATAACAAATCTCTGGTCAAGCTTGTGAGACATTATCTCTACTAGGTTAAATGAGTTTGAAAGACCCTCCCTGGATATGTTTATGCTACATCATTGTAAACTCTTTCTACTGTTGCTGGTAGGACAGTTGCTTTCAATTTTTTTTACTATATTTCTACATTGGATGCACTTTTAAGTTGTTACTGTAACAGGCATCTTATCTCTGTGTAGTGCTGAGGATTCACCCATAAATGAAAGGCTGCTCACTTGCTCACTAAGTAGACCTCTTGGAAACCTAGAGATGTCTATCCAGACAGTTGTACATTCAATGTTAGAAACATAAAAATGTAAAAATAATTTGGGGCTGGAGAGATGATTCAGTGATTAAGAGCAGTGACTGCTCCTGCAGGGGGCCCATCATTGATTCTCAGCATCCACACAGTGGCTCACAACCATCCATAACTCCAGTTTCAGGGGATCTGATGCCCTCTTCTGACTTCTGAGAGCATTGCAAGATACAGGTGACCTTAATACATGCAGGCATTACACTTATATACATAGATTAAAAATAATAAATTATATGTATACATATACATATATACAGACACACACAAACATACATATACAAAGACAGAAAAACAATTTAAAAGATTGACTTTAAAAAAAATCAAAAAATTCAGAGTACAAAATTAAGATGAAGAGTTAGATAAATTAAGGAATAAGGTTTACAGTATGAATGCAATTCAATGCATAAATTTTCTAGACAGCAATATTGGAAATTAAAAATTGAATGAGTGGAAGAGGGGACAAAAGAAATGCAAGAGCCAGAGGATTTGGAGGTGTTCCACAAAAAGATGTCTCCTGGATATAACATGGCTGTATCATTGCGCTCATAAACTCACTGCACCTTTAGTTAGCTGCACAAGCCTTGCATGAGACCGGGTCTGTCAGAATTCCTTCATTGTTGGGGAGGGCTCCTGGGTTCCTAGACTGAATAAAAAGAAAGAACGAGCACCTCTAAATCAACAAAATCAAAGATGAAATGGGAAACATCACAACAGACACCAGAAAGATACAGAACATCATAAGAGAGTACTTTAAAAACTTATATGCTACTAAATTTGAAAACCTAAAAGAAATGGACGGATATCTAAAAGCATGGGAACCACCAAAACTAAACCAAGAAGAGATTAACAGCTGAAACAGACCCATAACACAAAAAGAAATTGAAATGGTAATACGAAACCTCCTGACTAAAAAAAGTCCAGGACCAGATGGATTTACAGCAGAATTCTATCAGACATTTAAAGAAGATCTGCATCCAATACTACTTAGACCCATATCCTTAATGAACATAGATGCAAAAATTCTCAATAAAATACTTGCCAACTGCATACAGACACATATCAAAAGGATCATCCACCAAGATCAAGTTGGCTTTTTTCCAGAGATGCAGGGATAGTTCAACACACAAAAGTAAATAAATGTCATAAATTATATAAATGGACCCAAAGACACTAACCACATGGTCATCTCAATAGATGCCAAGAAGGCCTTTGACAGAATTCAATATGTATTTATGTTCAAAGTCCTAGAGGGAAATGGACTGGAGGGAACATACCTCAACATAATTAAAGCCATATATAACAAACCCACAGCCAACAACATTCTAAATGGAGAAAAAATGGAAGCATTCCTATTGAAATCAGGAACCAGACAACGATGTCCACTATCCCACTTCTCTTTAACATAGTGCTTGAAACACTTGCAAGAGCAATAAGACAAGAGCAGGAAGTTAAAAGAGTAATAATTGGAAAAGAAGAGATCAAATTATCCCTTTTTGCAGATTATATGATATTATGTAAAAGAGATGTCAAAAATTCCACCAGAAAACTCCTAGAAATTATTAACACATTCAGTAAAGTGGCAGGTCACAAAATTAAACTACAAAAGTTTGTAGCCTTTCTATATACCAAAAACAAGCAATCAGAGAAAGAGCACATAGAAACACTCCCCTTTACAATAGCTTCAAAAAACAATAAATAAAATATCTCAGAGTAAACCTGACCAAAGACATTAAAGAGCTCTACAATGAAAATTTTAAATCTTTAAAGAAAGAGATTTAGGAAGACACCAGAAGATAGAAGGATTTCCCATGCTCATGGATTGGAAGAATTAATATTGTGAAAATGACCGTCCTACCAAAAGCCATTTATAGATTCAATGCAATGCCAATCAACATCCCCGTGACATTTTTCACAATTGGAAAAAAACATCCTAAGATTCATATAGAAACACAAAAGAACTCAGATAGCCAAAGCAACCCTGAGCACTAAGAGCATTGCCGGGGGGATTACTATACCCGATTTTAAGCTGTATTACAGAGATACAGTCATAAAAACAACACGGTACTAGCACAAAAATAGACCCATAGAGCAATGGACCAAAATTGAAGACCCAAATATGAGTAAATACAATTTCAGCCACCTGATAAATGACAAAGGGGCCAAGAATATTCACTGGAGAAGGAAAGACAGCATGTTCAGCAAATGATGCTGGCAAAACTGGATCTCCACCTGTAGAAGAATGAAACTAAACCTCTATCTTCACCTTGCACAAAAGTCAATTCCAAATGGATCAAAGACTGCAATGTAAAGCCTAAAACTCTGAAACTGTTAAGAGAAAACATTGGGAAAAACCTACAAGATATAGGTGTAGGAAAGGATTTTCTAAACAGGACATCAATTGCTCAGGAAACAAGGGAAAGAGTTAACAAATGGGACCTCATTTAAATAAAAAGCGTCTGTACATCAAAGGCGGCAACCACGGAAGTGAACAGAAAACCCACTGAATGGGAGAAAATCTTCACCAGCGACACATGTGACAGAGGTTTAATATGCAGAATATATAACAAACTCAAAAAACAGAGAATCAAGACAAGAGGCAACCCAATTAAAAGATGGGCTAAGGAGCTGAACAGAGAGTTCTCAAAAGAAGAAGTAAAGATGGTTATGAAGCATCTTAAAAGATGTTCAACATCACTAATAATTAGGGAAATACAAATGAAAACCACTTTAAGATTTCATCTTACCCCAGTCAGACTGGCTAAGATCAAGAGAACAAATGATACCAAATGTTGGAGAGGATGTGGGGAAAGGGGAACACTCATCCACTGCTGGTGGGGCAGGAAACTTGTTCAACCCCTATGGAAAGAAGTGTGGAGAGCTCTTCAAAAACTACAAATGAACCTTCCATTTGACCCAGTTATACCACTCCTTGGCATATACTCAAAGAACTCATAGTATTCATCCTATTGCAAACACACTTGTGCATCCATGTTTGTTGCTGCTCTTTTCCCAATAGCTAAGAGATGGAAGCAACCTAAGCGTCCTGAAATTGATGAGTGGATAATGAAAATGTGGTTCATTTATGTGATAAACCTAGGGGATAAAGGGAAAGAAGGAGCTCAAGAGAGGTAGGACCGTAAGAGAAGAGTATTATTAAGGGAGAAAGGGGGAAAAGGGGTCCCTTAATTGGGGAAATCATGATGGAAGTGTGAGACAATGCAAAAGATAAATAAATGCCTACCTAGTTTTAAAAACCAGAGGGAACCATATTACTCCAACAACCTACTGACAAATTATACATACCAGATCAAGAAATATATGTTTAGGTAAGGTTTATCTGAGAACAATTGCTCTTTGTTCAAGCTTTATCTATGTGACTCACAGTAATTAAATTTCTTTAAAGTTTTATTGAATTTTTGTGTATTTCATGCAGAGCATCACAATCAATCTTAATCATCTTTAATACCCCTTCCCCACTGGCACCTTCCTATATCCTCCCCACACACACACACTGGAATTCATAATTCTGTCATTTGTCTTAAGGCCTTTTATGTCAACTTACTGTCCCAAGACAGAGGTCTAATCAGCCTATCTGTAGTCCCACACTTTAGGAAGATCAGCGCTTCATCTTCAGCAGTAATTAGTTGCCAATATTTCTTCAGATAAGATTGGGGTCAGCTGTCCAGTTATACTATGACAATTTAATGCATATAGATAATTTATTATGGTTATTCTGAGCCTAACCATCTGTCTCTCTCCTATCCCTATCAATCCCCTTTTCAATACAAGTCCCTTTACCAATTTAATAAGGGTCATGTAGGAAGACATAAAGAGGTCTGACAACAACAATCATGAGGTGCTCTCTTTGGCAGCACATATAACAAAATTGGAATGACCGAAATTAGCATATCCCCTACATAAGGATGACACACAGATTTGTGAAGCATTCTGTATTTTTAAAAGAACAAATGACTCCAACTGCTTTTTTGGATGAGGGAAAAGGGGGATTCTCATTCACTGTTGATGACACTGCAAATTGGTACAACCACTGTGGAAAACTTGATAAAAACTACAAATAAATTGACCATATGATCTGGTTATACCACTCCTTGACATATTCCTGAAGGACTCATCCTACTTCAGGAAGACTTGCATAGCCATGCCTGTTGCTGCTCTTTTTACAATAGCTAAGAAATGGAAATAAATGAATGTCCCTCAGATGATGAATAGGTAATGAAAATTTGGTACATTTACACGATGGAGTTCTACTCATTGGTAAAGAAAAATGAAATCATGAAATTTGCAGGTAATTGGCTGGAAATAGAAACTGATTTACTAAGTGAAGTAAGTCAGTCTCAGAGAAACAAGTTATGCATGTTTTCTCTCATTTGTGAATCTTGGCTCCAAAGCCTTTTATGTAACTGCAGGATCAGAAAAATTGAAAGGAACCTTGGAAGTACAGGGGAAGAAGTAGGTTGAGCAAGTGGGATAATACAAGAAAAGAGTCATTAAGGAGGAAATGGGGAAAAGGGGATACTTTTAACTGGTGAACAAGGAGGGAGGGTTATGCAGGGTGAGTGAGAAGAGAGATAAATAACACTTAGATGGTGTGAAAAATTGGAAGGAAATGTATTAGTTCAATGTCAAACTGAAAAATACACTATATATAGTGTATATATATATATATATATATATATATACACATATATATAATGAGTGCATGTATATAGCTGAAGGCTATATAACAAAATCACGGAATGCCAGGCAGGAGAATCCTCCATTCCAGTTGTTAGTCAGGGTAGTCTAGGAGACTCCCAGAATAATACAGGGTATTGGTACAGCCCTTGATTACCTCCCAGAACTTGAAGGTAAGATCCTATTGCTGAATACAAGCCATAGTTCAGATATAGGACTTGGAACAATCCTGCTAGAGCTGACTTGGAAACCTCGCCCCTGCCTCGAAGATCAGTGCTCACAGTATCAGAGGATACTATGAAAACTGCCAAGTGAAAAAACTACAATCAATAGTCCTTTCCAGCTGTGAATCCTAATAAATAACAATAACTGGTCCAGCAGACTATACCTATTGGTGCAGTAGTGTCACTTTTTTCTTAGGAGGGTAAGTAATAGCTGCCTCATTGAAACTCATATGTGGTACTCTAAACATATGTAAATGCACATGACTGGAGAGGTCACAGATCCTAGGGAAAATGTATTTTTGCCACATCCTTAGACTAACATAATTTCATACCATATTCTATATATGCATCCTCATATTTATAGACAGTTGTACCTCTTAACACTCATCAAAGAAGCTTTTCACAATAAATGGAGACTGTTACAGAGTTCACAGCTGATCAAATACGAAGACCGCTTATCTGTGAGATGTTGACCCCAAAGTGACACATCTTCCTGCATCCTCTACACTTAGGATGAATGCATCTCTCAACTCTCACCAGAGGTGTTTCTTTGGGCAGATGATAGTGATTAACCTAAAGTCACAATTGGCCATGTACAGAGAACAATAGGCTGCAGTGTGCTTATCCTTAAATAGAACACCTATTATAAACTTCTGCCTCCCAATGCTCAGGGATCATTGTGGAAGTGGGAACATTCTGATTGTAAGAGTCAGAGGGGATGGATGACCACACGGATATATAATTTTCCAGAAAACTGGTCAGTTACTCATATGAACCCACAGCAATAGACAGCATGCGCAAGTCTCATGCAAGCTCAAACCAGACAAAATCCCAGCATAGACATGGGGACATTGGTAAGAAATACCAACCCAACCTAAGGAACTTTTGGCAACTGATGGCTTCTTGGAGGAGCTGAAACAGTCTCTTCCAGGGAATGGACTCTTGGTAGGTTGAGCAGGCTCCAGTTAATAAACTAACATTGAAGGACATTTGGGGACAAAAATTGCACTCTATAGATCACATCTAATACATATAACAGAATACTTTAAATTGCACACGTGGAAAGTAAGGGGAACTGAAGATAGGGGAGGGAACCTAAATACCATCAAATTATATGACTACATCTGGCTGGAGAAATGGCTCAGCTGTTGAGAGCACTGGCTGCTCTTGTAGAGATTTCGTTCTTAACACCCACAAGGGTGTTAAGGTCCAGGGGATCCAATTCCCTCTTCTGACCTCTATGGGCATTGCATGACACAAGTGAAGTTACATTCATGTAGGCAATACATTTATACACATAAAACAGTAAAAGAATAATTAAAATATTTTGAAAAGAAAATTGCAAAAACTCAATTATTATTTTTAAAAAGGACATTTAAAAATAAATTACCCAACATTTATCTGCAGGACACACAGTAATTAAAAATGCCAGAATGGTGGAACTAACCTTCTTGGATGTTTAACAGACATACCCTGAGATCTATACTAATTGGGTCAGAGGGACACAAAGGATGCTTTTTGCTCCTTGCCCTCCTAGGTCGATTAGTTCCCAGCGACTATGAGCATCTCGCAAAATGTCCTGTAAAGGTGCTGGGTCATCTGACCTCTTGATCAAGGAGGCCAAGGAGACCCCACCAGATGCACTTGAACCAGTGTCTAGTCTACAAAGAGGAGGGTCAACAAAGAGAAATCATTTCCTCCATGCTTCCAAGCAAAGCCAACTATGGTCGAGCAGGACCTTTGACTTACCTTCACATAGGCGGAACTGGTAAAAGAAAGGAGCCAGGGGCTCCTCCCAAGC